ATGGAAAGGGCTAGACGAAAAGATGCTCGACAGGTAATGTAGCTCAAAAAAAATTGGAAGGAATGTAAAGAAAGGCAGTAAGCACTCTTAACTTCACTTTAAAGGTGTTTATTTTAATCTCTGATGGACATGGGCAAGAATATTGGAATGTTGTACAGGCTACAGGAAAACGTCTGCAGGTATTTGCAGCTAGTGTGAGATATTTCAAGCAGAGTAATAATATTTTTTGCAGGAAACCAATGCTGAGCTGTTTGCAGTATCCGCTAGTCGAGACTATAACGAAGCTGAACTCTTAATTTATGTTGGTGATAAGAGTCGAGTTTTTGTAGGGCCGAAGTATACCAGGTTGGTTTTTTATAAGTGGAAATCAAACAATTTTAGTAAAGTGATTTATCTAATTGTATAACATTGCAAGAGTTTATTAGTTTACTTAAACTGAAAAGTGGTTAGAAAATAATTCCGGGTGTTTATAAATAAAAATTAACGGGTAATCAGGCCCCTGATGTGGCAGAAGTAAATGAGTTATAGAAGAGCTTACCTAACCCGCACTTATATGCTGGTTAAATTAAACCTATTATTCTTGTCTTTATACCTTAGTTCGCTCAGCTGTTGAAAATCCAAGCATTCACGCATCGAAGTTCTCCCAGACTCATGCATTATGTGCGTTAGTTCTATAGAATTCGTTTTTCTTGAAAGAATAACTACCACAACATTACTTAATCTGAGAATGTTTGAAAAAAGAAATCACGGAACTGTTTTATGTTGTTAAGCTGGTTTTATCATCCTGGCAGACCTACCGATAGCTTAGATGTAACTGCAAACGATTCCCATTTCATATTTAGTATGTTTACATCCTACAAGCTTCTTTATATACGAACTTTTTCCTTGAAATGGGATCGGATTCTCGGAATATTTTTCTGCATGAGATTGATGGATTTGTGTTGTGTGCAACTAGTTTTTTGAGTGTCACCACTTGTATTTTTTGTTGAGACCTAGAGTACGGTAGATTCTTCCTTCTTTTTCAAACCTTTCTTCCATAAAAATTACGGGGTCCCCAAAAGTTTTATTTCATTTTGTTCATACTTTCTTCCCATACATATCTCCTGTTTTTCCTTACCCTTAGTCCTTTACTCTAACTTCGTTTCCTTTTCCTTTCCATGCTCATCTCCTTTTTTCCTTGCCCTTTTACCGTTTTTCT